TTTTTCATCATGTCAATCGTCTTTCTGTAACACTTGCAACACCGATTTTCATGACTTTTTCGAGAAGCAGTGAGACAAAAAATTGAACATTGTCTCGTTCAGTTCAGAAGTCGACTTCGACGCGATGGATCAAAGAAACGTATCGACAAACGAAGTCGACTCTTTCACCACCATTCAATTCAACAAAAAACAATGCACAGTTACTAAAGCAAACTGTTCAATTGTTAAAGTAGTACTCAAGAATGAAACTACCTTTGGAAAATAACAGAAAATGACTGTCGTTAGTCTATTTATGATAATTAATATTCTTGCATTAATAATCATCCTAGCGTTCTCTATGAATTGTTATCGCTACTTGAAATCTGATTGGACGACAGATCAGTCAAGGTAAATCCAGCTACATTGTCCGAGCACCAACACACTCTTGCCAGGCTAATAAAGTCTTAAGAGGGCTTCCATGAGACCATCAAGGAACCGAGGCACCGGTCAAAATTTACTTTTTCGATTTGACATGTGAGTTCGAATCAGCGACGTCGAAAACCTCTGCTTTCAAAATTTCAGTGCGTTTGGTTGAGTTGATGAAAAGTTAGCCGGAACCAACTTTTGAGTACTCCACAAATTCTATGAAAACATCATCAAGATTTCCTTTCGAAAAGTTGGGTCCCTTAGTCCAATCAAAGCTTAACCAGATTTTTTGCAGCAATCGAAACACTACATATGATGTCAACATTCATTCTGACATACAAGAAAGGATTTTTCATTCTTTGACGAACGAAGTGAACAATAGAAATGATGAGAAGTTACTTTTTTCAAGGAGAAGCAAAACCTAAATCGAATAATTGTATTGATTTCGATTTGAAAAAGTTTTTGAATGAACGATATGCACGAGTGAATTAGAAGAATTGAAGTGGGAAACCATGTTGATACCCATCTTCATTGCCAAAGACATCCATATGTGATTGTTTTGAAGTCGTTATTCTTGCGAATAATATTTTGTTTTTACAAAGATCGATTGATATTCATTCTATATGCATAAATGATCTATATAAAACGTGATGCAAAAGACTTTGAACAAATGTCAAACTATGTTAGACGATATGGCCAACTTCTAAACCAATCAAATTTGTTTTTGTTGGAGAGAGCAACGTCTGAACTACAAATTTTTTACCAGACTTATTTTTCTAGAACGAATCTACGAAGCAGAAGAAGCCAAAAATCAAATACCTCTAAAAAAGTTCTTGCAACGTTTTTGCAACTTGAAAAGTTTCTATTTCTCAACTATCTTGAGTTACATGAATCGAACTTTAACAAAAAAAATACACCAGTATGTAGCACATCAAAAGTTCTATTGATATCAGCTTTGGTAGATTTTTTTAAGATCCGCTCTTGACTCTTTAATTAAAAAAAAAATAGGAAATTGAAATTTTTGTAAAATAGAGTCTTTCTAAAGAACTATCGATTTGGAAGGAGATCAACCACAATCTTCAGAAACTATGTATGAACTGAATTCTTTGTGTGTTATTTGTTCGAAATACGTCAGATCCTAGAAACTTAGTAGAAAAAAAGAATTTAAAAAACCTTTTTTATTGTTACAAGACGGTCAGGTAGTAAGAAAGATCAAATTATACGCTGTCATCCAGAAACAGCTATATTTTTCTAAAAAAAAAAAAACAAGACTAAATTTAACTTCCAATACACCATTGAAAGGAGCACTCTTTGTGCTACAAAAATCATCATTAAACATGGGTTTTCATTTTGCTTCTGATATAAAAAAATGAACAGAAAAGAGAAAGTAATATTATGTGAAGATGAAGTTGTAAGAACTTCTTTTTAGAAGGTTTGGTTTTTGGCTTCTCTTGAGGGTGTGGGTATGGGATGTGAACTTTTCGTTCACTTACACTCTTACTCAAACCTATTCTTTGTTTTAATATATGACTTACAATTCCACACATTAATAATGTCTCAAAACATCTGATGGGATGTGGGTGTGGGTGAGGATCTAAGAAGAGAAGATACGCACACCCACACATCCACACCCTAGTTTTTTCTTTTCGTATTATTATCCTTTATTCTTTCAGCTGGCATGTATGAAAACTATTGCAATTTGTCATGATTTATATGCCGTTTGAAAGAATTGATGCAGACGATAGCGATAACTCACTGATGATGCGATTGATTTGGATGATGATTTTGATAGTATGCAATTTGAATCTTCAAGCTTCAAAGAAGTAGATATTTACTCTTTGATATTCCATTGGAGAAGCTGAATTCTGGTTCGTCACAAGAGGTAACAAATTCCTTGATCACCACATTATCTGAAGACACTATGCTAGATGCTATGAGAAAAGCAGGAAACAACAATCAAGGAAATTTTATCTTGATTCTGTTAATGAGTAGCATTATATTATGCAGTAAATGATTCAAAAAAAATCAATGAAACCTGACCAGATGACACATTATGTGTACCGCATACGTAAGAAGAAGAAAGTGTTTTTCTTTATTAAGTTTCTTGTTGAAATATGATGGATCCTATCGGTGTGCACACATCACTTCAAATGTATCAAGTCTTTTGTTAGTTAATGAGTTATTTTGAAACTATTCTCCATTTTTCAATAGTTCTGTGTTGAAATCGTAACCAAAGAAACTTAAACATAGCAGTACTACATTGCGTTGATCGACCATTCTTTTATATAATGTTAGTAATTTCACCAAAAGAATCCTTTTTCTTTGTCTAGAACAATCATTCTAATCGGAAAAAAATCAATACGCATGGAGATACAATAGTGAAACCGAAAAACGAATGCAAATTTTTAACAGAAACCATATCCATCACTCTTTGCTTTCTAACTTACAAAAATATATCTATTATTATTTTTTTTCTAACAATGATAATTGATAGACTAATCAGTGATATGAGAAAGACTCTGCACCACATCTAATAGAATCCAATATTGATTATTTTAGGTGCGCATCTCAATCCAGCTATGAGCATAGCCTTTGCGACTATTCGTAAAATGAAACTATTGCAATATATCGTCTACATTATCGGTCAAATATTGGATGAGTTTTTGAGGAACTGCTCTAGTTTATCTTGTCTACTTGAAACAATTCGATGAATTCGATAGTGGTATACGACAAATAACAGGTCTCAATGGTACAGCTGATATTTTCTTTACCATGCTTGCGAAAGGTATACCAAAATGGAATACGTTAATCGATCAGATTGTAAGCACCACTTTTCTGATAGTCTTTGTCATAGCAGTTACACGTGTAAGAGAATACTTTGAAATAGATGAATAATTGATAAATGATTTTATATAGAAATTTAATCATATGATGTCAAAAGTAACCAATTCATTTCCATTTGCACCAATTGTTATGAGCATCACTTCTGCATTTTCAATAAATGCTGAAGTAGCAATTAATTCTGTATGCAAATTCTGTATCTATTGATTTTCACAGTATAATTCTTTTCTGTTTTTTATGGTTTAGGCTCGTAATTTGGGTCCACGTCTTTTTGCAGCATTTATCTATGATTGGAATGAGGTATTTAGAGTTCATGAATACTACTTTTGGGTACTAATCATTGGTTCAATTGTTGGAGCCATTCTTGGTGTATGGTTTTATCTAGGTTTTATTTGGATTGTAAAGCACTATGGTCATCTTCGTAATATTGAAGATATTGATACCAATGATGCAATAAACAATTGATAAATAATACAGATAGAAGAGAATGATTCACTAGATTTTCGACAAAAATACACAATCATGAATGAATAAATGAATATTGTATATTTATGAATTGATAAAACTGTTGTATTTATCTCGATTTTTTCCTATTTAATTGCATATTCTGTTAGTATGAAATCGGTAACAAAAATAAACTTCGTATTCGCCTTTATCTCATTATAGATGACAATGTTTTTCTTTTTTTGTAAAGTGTTGAAATCAGTAATCTGGACTAGAGTGATTAGCGCGTTGCTCTTTCGTAAAGTAGCTCACATTTAGCTGAATTCTTCATGCAAGAAGCACTCAAATCAATCTTAGAAACTAATGGCAAGTCATTCGTTAGCATTTCTCTGGAGCCACTATCCATGACTAACTATTTTCACATTCTATCTTCTTTCTCAACTAATAATCTAGTTGTGTTACCATTGAACCAAATTAGTTCCTCTTTCGTTAAATCAGCGAATTTTTGACAGGAAGGCTCGTAATCGGGACTCATACCTTCGCATTTTATGTACGAAAACAAATATAATATATATCATACCGATCAAAGAAAAACGAAATTTCTATTCGAAATACAACGATAAAGGACACAGTGGTTGCATGAGAATTGACTAATATTGAAGAGGAGTTACGATTTATAAAAAATTCTTCATTTAAGATATGTCATACTGCTATAATGAATCTAAAAATATAGATACAAGAGTTTAGAATTTAAGACTATAAAGAACTGTACTGAAAAGTTGTTTATTTACGAACTGCAAGACCAAGGTTTGAGTTCTCGCACAAAATATTGTTCGATTTACAAGAAAAAAAATTCTCGATAAGGATATCGAAGATCAGGTTTCGTTATTAACTATCTGTTATCACTTAAATGTTGCAATCTTTCTAAAAAAAATCCAACTCATAGTGAAATTCTTGAGTAATGAAATCTTAACGAAGCTTTTTTTTCCGAAATAAATGAAGATCAACGCCCTTCTTCTCTGAAATAATCTTTGGTAAACCTCACAAACCAGTGGCTATTCGTTGTCATCACTAAGTATAGAAAAAAAAACATGAGAGGAAAAATGGCTGTTTGAATGGAGACTGAATATTGAAAAAAATACATGCAAGTATACGTGTGAGATTATAAACTTATTTTATCTCATGTGACTTTCCCTTTATTCTAAGGAATAGATCATTATTTTCTTTCAAAAAAAACTTTTTTCTAGTAAAAAAAAACCCTTTTCAAAAGACAAATAATACCAATCAATTCGGCACCTGTTAGCGTCAAAAGATGGTGCTGTAGGACGCTATTTGCATTATTAATATTCTTATATATTATTTTTGTTTGATTTTTCTTTGATTTTCTTTTATGACCAATCATTCTTAGATGTTGTTCTTATTTGTTTTTTACCTTTTCTCTCTCCTTCTTCTTTTTTCCTTTAGTGATTTGCAAAATGAAACATAGTTAATACAATTCCGGTAGAATTACTTTTGTAAGAGCTCTTTATATATTAGACCGATATGTAGACCCTCATCATATCATTTCGGTCTACAATATTTATGAACACAGATGAATATTGGTATATGTGTCAGGCAAAATTAAACTAAGTTTGAAAGACTTGTTATTTTAACATAATTTTAAAAAAAAATAAAGGAAACTTGTTTATTTTTGTAACCATAGAATTTGACAGAACGTAGAGTTCGTAAGTTGTATTCTATACAAATTAAACTAAGTCTAGGAAGATATAGGGTTCTCGAGTTGTATTCAATGCAAATTGAACTAAACTTAGGAATATGTAGAGTTCGCAAGCTGAAAAGATGTATAGAGTTCGCTAATATTTTCTACTGACATTGAGCTGATCGTAACCAGTCCGATTAAAAAAAAAAAGAAAGGATATTCTTTATAATCAGGCATCAATTCTCATCGATATTTAACTGCTTGCCTTCGAATACAATACGGTTCATAGATAATATGCAAACAATATAGATGACGTTATTATGTTTAACCGAGTTCTATCGCATCCAACAAACTAACGAAAGAGTTTAATTTATGCCTTCTCATAATGTAATAGCAATGGTATTCACTCGGCAATTAATACTCAATAAATGAATATGTTAGTTTGTCTATTTTTAAAAAATAGTTCATTCTCAGAAGAGATACAATTTTCTCATATGAAAAGCTTTAAGTAACAACGAAGAGAACGATTTTCAGTAGTTGTTTAGTTCTAGTTTTCGGATATTATGTTTAATGGCTATTCAATCTCGCAGAATTACTTCTACATCTTCATAGCTATTTAAATACTTATCATCTATTCCATTCACATTACTGATTTTTTTTTCGAGCAGAGAGTAGTGAAGAGGCTTATGGGTTACCACAAATCTGCTAGATAAGTATTTCTCTTATCCAAGGCAATGGACATTAGTCATTATACTTCACTTGTATGACATCTTCCTGAATTTCTGACCTTCTTCTGTTTTGTTTTCTCATATGTGACTATCCCTAAATTAGTTGAATTTAATGACACACACAGTAGGATTTTAAGATATTAATGTAAAAATAATGCAACTAGTTATAAAGCCTTGTTAGCAATTTATTTCACGTTATCAATCGTACTTGTTGTGAAGTATTTTTATGATTTTTTTACAAATCTGTGGGTAAAAAGGCACTGAAGACGAAGCAGAATTCGATTACCAAGAAAAAAAATCAAAACTACAAAAATCTTACTATTATACTGTCAGTGAGTAATGTGTATCGTCACATACTAGTTGTTAGTAGGTGATAGTCTGCACTACTCATCTGTTACTAATGAGTAGCAAATATTTAGTTTAACTATTCTGTGATACTTATACCTGGTCGAATGTATCTAAATCACATAACACAACATAATAAGTAATCAGTCTAGTTACTTTCTAGTAAGTAATAAATGTTACAATTCGTTGTTTATTGTTAACAAGCAACTACTGGTTAGAACATGTATCTTTTATTAATAAACAGTAAAAGATCAGGTCGGATATTTATGATTAGTGACTAACAATTTTAAACCAAGAAAACTGTTTTATTGCTATTAAGTCGAAGTCAAAATCGATAGAAGTATAACGATCTTACTGATAATACTCCTCGTAGTGAGTTTACATATACTTTATTGATGCGTAGTCAGTGTATTTACTCAGCAATATCTCACTGTTACTTGAAAATCGTTAAGACAAATATTGTTCGATGTTAATATCTGATGAGAATGTAAAACAAGCTTATCTTTGATTTGATGCAGAATAATTGATAAACTAATTTGCTTAACAGAAATAGTCACGCAGCACATCTCATACTGAATATCTTTAACAATTAGCGTATGGACAACTAACGTTATTAATTTGTTCAATGAACATTATCACATCATCTTAATCAGCATTGTTTTATTTTACTGCGTATTTAAGAAGATCAATTATAGTTCAGTTGTAGTTTAAGAATTAAATAAATGCAGACAAATATTGTTAACATTCAAAAGCTAAATGGGAGGGGAAACTCATCATTAATGTTACTACATGTTAATATATCATACTAACAACATAAGCGATTCCTTCCTTCTCGGATTATATGATAACCATAATCTTCTCTATTTTTCTATAAAAAGTGCATGTACGTATGAGTAACAAGCATGTTCAACCAAAATAAACAAGTTATCCTATTCTCATATACTTTATAATTATAAAATGACTTAGAGTTTAGCAGTTTTAATAAGAGCTTCAAAAATTAATTATTTTATATTTTATCTACTTCTCATCGTCACATAGAAACACAGTTCATCATCCGTCTACATTTTAAATAAATTTTTTTCGCTTCGCCTGTCCACTCCACGGAGAAAGGAAAAACAAAGGTATTCTTTTATCACTCTCTCTCTCTCGTCCGATTATTCGTCTGTTCTTTTCATTTTGAATTCATTTGTGTTCTGTTTCGTTCTCAAAGTAATTGCCTAACTGAGCAGGTCATTTTATTTATAAAGTATACTTAGAATTAATGTTAAATTCACTATATATAATGCAAAGGCTTCTTTTGTGTAAGACTGAATATATATGCGATTTAGATAAGTTTTTTTCTGCAGAAATCATTCAGTATGAGAGAAAGAATAGGACACTTACTACATTGCTATTAATCGTGAGTTTCTTTGAAAAATACTTCAATATTCACTAGGTTAGTGTTGTCTTAGACATAATCTGTATGGTACCGATGACAATACAACTAGAAGGATCACGAGTACGTGTGACATGTGAGATGTTTGAAACAGATGATTTTTCTACTTGGTGAAGAAGGAACCTTAAATCATCGAAATATGAATGAGCTTTAAAAGAAATATTGTCACTACAAAAAAATAGATAGCATTCTGGTGCATAGGTGTAGCGTTATCAATTTCGCGATCGATTTAATACACTATAATTATGAGATTTCGTAGTGCATTGATCATACTTCTAGTTATATCATATCTTCGAACTTTGATATTTTAGAATTTGATCGAAATAAAGTTAAATTTATTAATGAAACTTGAAAAGAACATCTGTCTACTATAATAGTTACAGTGATAGTTTTCTTTATATTGGAAGCTGGTTAGATAGTTCGTGGTTTGGCTTTTTTTCGTCAATTCCTGTGTTAGTCGTAGTATTTTAAATCTATTTATCAGTCTATCTTATCTGTCACTTATTTGAAACATGAGTATAAATCATTAAATTTTCTTCTCGTTCCTAAACTGATCGATTATATTCAAATTATCATTAGATTAATGTTAAATTGACATATGTTTATAGTTTATACTTTAAAAATAGTACAGAGAATTTTTCTCTCATCAGTTCGTTTCTTTTTATGTTAAGAGTAAATTCACATTTTACTATTTACTTGTTGGTATTTTTTTTTTCTTTTTGTTTTTTCTAATAGTGGAATGGAATGACAAGACGTTAATGCTGTTCGCCTAAACTTACGTATTTTATCTTTCTTTTCACTATTGAAAAAAAAACAAAAAGAAAAAAATACCAACAAATAAATAGTAAAATGTAAACTTACTCTTAACATAAAAAAAAAAAGAAAACGAACAGGTGAGAGAAATTCTCTGCACTGTTTTCAAAGTATAAACTATAGATATATGTCAATTTAACATTAATCTAATGATAATTTGAATATAATCGATTAGTTTATCAATGGGAAGAGAACTTAATTATAAATTGTTGATACTTCATAGTTTAGATGAAACGTTTGTTGATCATTAAGAGGCGTTATAACGGAAATTATTTCAACTGTTCAAACAGTGTCATTAGTCGCCAAAAACGCGTTAAAAGTTAATTTTTCATAAACTGGCTTAACGATTTTTTTGGTGACTAATGACACTGTTTAAACAGTTGAGATGTTGAGACGTTTAAAAACGCCGTTTTGTTGTCTGTCTGAGCTGAACTACGCATGATTAACGTTAATTGATTCTAATTGTAGTGTTAACTAGCTGTGATTGTCATCGATCTCTGGTCATTGAGTGCGAATATTTTCACCCCCATTGTTTTTGACCTTTGTCCTTGCCACATACATATAAGTGCATCTTACTGGTTATGATTCTCTCTATAGCCGAAGGAAAAAAAAGGAAAAGCTGTTTTTTTTCTTTTCTTCCGGGGAAAATGAACCCTTTTTTTCATTTCTTTCGTGGTATGAAAGACATACTACACAATTTTTCTTTGCATTCTTTCTGTCTTTTTTTTATCTTATAATTATATATAGTTATAATAACAAAATCGTTTCGTGATTGAGACGTAGATCGTATAGTACAAAAAGGATGAAGAATAATACAATACCGTACGAGAACAAGGAATTATGTACACTATTGCAATTTCATACAAATGATGATTTTCAAAAAGAACAGCCATTAGAAGCACGTTATTTCAAGGACGACAATTGTCAGTCCTATAAAAAACGTGATAATAAAGTGCCACATCAAGTAAGTAATGATAAACATTTATCCGTTACGATTTTCATATATCTACTTCTTTTTTTTTTTTTTTTGGTACCTACTACACAATACATACAATTGAATCAAACATCAGCTTCAGTCTCGTCATCAATATTACAAGGCGATTCAGAACAACGGTATGTACAGAGTGTCTAGGAAGTAAATCCCTATTTGAAATAATCCTTCGTTACTCTTTAAAAGGATGAGATATCATAACACTTCTTTTTTTACTGTTTTGAAACATGCTCGATGACATTCGTGTTTACTCTTGGACAGTCAACCAATTAATGCCCTTTCTAATTTAAAATAAAATGCTATCGAGCATGTTTCGAAACAGTAAGAGAAAAGTGTTACGATATTGTGCCGATGGGCACATTATCTTTTGTGATATCTTTTTTTTCTCACTGTGTTACTATACAATTAATGACATATAGTGTTCATAATCACGTTAGTGTCACGTTCGGCTATGCATGATTGAACCTTCTTCTCTTTCTACCTAATGAACTTTTCATTCTATATCATCATTCACTTGTATATAATATTTATTATTCTCTCCTTAGCCTCATCTTTCTTTTCTTATTCTACTCGTGTGTCTAAGCGTGTGCTTTTGTATGTAAACGGTACGATTGTATGATATGAAGGAATAGAATAAAGTATAACTTCATCAACACTAACATCTCTTCTATCATTTTTCGTCACACATATCTCCTCTTGTTTTTTTAAAGACTAACAAAGCATTTTAAAAAAGGAATTTACTTTTTAGACACTCTATGACTGAAAGTAATCCAAAACTCGTAAACCGAGTAGAAGAACCGAATACAAACAAACCAGACTTCCGATGGTCAACTGATGATAAATTGACTGATCAAAATCGGAATAACTCGGCCAAGCGACATACAGAAATGTTGACAAGAGTTTTTCATTATATTGTTGCTCCACCGTTAATCAAAGAATCACAACGAAAACAGCACGAAGAAGAAGCAGATAATGATCAGGAATTTCAAGTTGATTATTACGAAGCTACTATTCAACTTGGTCGTCGTCTATTAGCTGAAATTCTTGGAACAATCTTATTTATCTTGGTCTTTGGTTCTTGTGCTATCGAAGTCGGTGAAAAACGTCTCAATCGTGAAGCAGCTGCATTTGCATGTGGATTTATGGCTCTGTTTCTTGCCTTTACATTGGGACCAATCAGTGGAACACATCTTAATCCAGTTGTTACACTAGCATTTGCACTCAGGTTCGTTTTCTATACAATGAAACTTTATATTCGAAGACGAGATAGAGTGGAATCCTGGAAGCTTGAGATAGTACGTTTTTTAAGAAAGTTATTTCGTGAATTTTTACAAAGAAAATTTCGGACTCTTGCATTCATAGTTTTATGAACTAGCTTATGTATAAAGGCTTACTGTACTAGACATATGCGTCTTGTTTTATTCTTTCTCACGACATTATGTGCATTATATAGAACTTCATTATATATGGGTTACTTGCTAAATTTGCAAGTCCAACATTCGAAAAAGCGAGTCAGTTTGTATTGCTATAGTAATAAGAATTAGATCACCCTTATAGTTTTATTAGAGGTACTTAAAGATCAAGTCATCATTCAATCATTTCTGTTAATTCTAATAATACATATTTTCATTAATTTTTTTTATTAGATTTGTTTTTCCATGGGTGTGGATCCCATTTTATTTTTTGGCTCAGTTTCTTGGTTCAATATTGGCTACTCTATTTTTAAAGTTATTATATCGTAATGGCGATGTTTCCTTCGTGCTGAACTCGCCTCAAATTCCAATTGTGGATGCATTTATTTGGGAATCATTTTTAACCTGCTGTATGATGATCGTTATTCTACAAACATCAACTAAAGGACATATTATTGGACCACAAGCAGCCTTTGCTGTTGCATCTATTTTCATCTTCATTGGTTTAGTTGGAGGAAACAAATCATCCGTATCATTGAATCCATTTCGTTCGATAGGACCAGCACTGATTATTGAATCAGACAAGAATAAAGACTTATGGTTGTTTATAGTGGCACCAATAGTGGGTACGGCAGTGGCACTATTAATATGTGGATTATTACAAGGATTCAAATCAAAAACACTGACAGAGCTGAAATCAGCGCAAGGAACCGAAGCAAAGATTACTACAAACAAAAACCACAATCATACGATGCCTGTATAGAACAATTAAAAAAAACTTCATCAGTTTTTGCATTTTTGCCTTTTCTATTGTTAATCGTGAAGTAAAAGAAAACAATACTTAGAGGTTATATGAAAAAAAGCTAGAAAATTTTCTCTTGGTATAGCCATCATCACTTTGAATATCTTTTGTGATGCTATTTTTCCCGCTTTGTTACGAGTTATATTTAATTGAGCAATAAAATAATTTAAACAAGCAATAATGAAATTTAGCAGTAAATCTTTTAAATGTGCAATAATTATAATGAATGAGCAATAATTTATTTAAATTAAAGGTAAATTTTATATAAAAACGGGCAATATGAATTGATTTTGTTGTGGCACATTCCAAACATGTGCTATAAGAGAGAGTTGTGTAACAGTTTAGTATTCCGGATGATAGAATAGCTCACAATCCGTTGGTCGGGTCCAAAAAACTCAGTGCAACTCCCTACTAGCAGGTACATTTCCATATTGCTTTCTCTTAGATTCTTCCTTTCGTATGATTATTCAGGTATATTCCGTCATCTCAGATGTATATCTACGTATGTGATAACAGGGAAGCTCTTATTTCTCAAAAATAAACAGCATATACACAAGAACATATTACAGATGTAACACATTTATTTATACAAATACGTAAGAAAAAGAGGTAGATCATTTGAAGCAAAAAAGCTTTATTGACACAATAATATACTATATTTTTCATTTTTCTTTATTTTATTTCCAATTGTAACTAAAACTAATGTAGTTTTTCTTTTTTTTTATTGCTAAAATATGGATTTACTACTGCTATACAATGAGTTAATTATTGTCCATTTAATAATATAAAATTGCTCAAATAAATACTAACCCTTTATTACTATGTTGCTGATAATTTTCTACGTTTTTTTTTGTATGAAAGGATAGAACTTCAAAAGGGTTCAGCAGAATGCCTATAGTCAAAAATTGTTTTCAGATGGTTCGGTAGAGAACTACTTCTTAACTACCAGAACTCTTTCATGAAAATGAATTGCTTCATATTCAAAAGTGTTCAGTAATCGCAAGCGACTCAGCATTATTTTGTAAGGTGATAAGGAGCTTTCTGGAGATTATGAAATATCTTTACTAGAAGCTCAACCATGTACATGGAGTAACCTGTGGTGAATGTATACAAAAATTCAGTGAACTGATGTATATTAGCTAGAACTTTTTTATTTTTCATTTTATTTTGAAAAATTTTCTTCACAAGTCTTGTAGTCTGATCTCTCCTCTATCGATTGATGAAATTTATTTCTCAAAATCTTGTGATTTGACTTATCCACAAGGTTTTTTCGAAGCATTAATTCTCGACTATACATTCATCTCAGTTATGTCGAATGTATAATCTCGCTAGTGCTATTGGAGTGAATGTAAGATAAAAAAAGATTTCAATGATATTTTTTTACAGAAATGTTCCTCATAAAGAACTACACAAAGCTAAAGGATTTCTTTAATTCATTTCTCAATGTAGTAGGAATACTACCCTCAAAAAAAGGAAAATCAATGGAAAAGCCTTTTTTTTTTTCATCAGCAATATTTTTCAAAAATAATTCGATATTCAGAATCGGCATTAAATTCTGAGTAAAATAGTGGTAAATTTATTAAATAAAGTCGACTAAACGGACTTGCTGCTGCATACATTTATAAAGATCTCGATGTAAATTCAGATGGAATATTGAAATTCTATATACAAATGCATCATCGTTGTCTTGATTTTGGTATTTGAATTTGAAATATAGATGTTATAAATCGTGGTTTCTCAAAACAGATACTTTTTCAACTATTTAACCCATTCGCCACGATGGAACTCACCGGTGTGTTCTATCGCGACGAATGGGTTAATAGATTAATTGTATTGCGTTGTTTAGCATCGCTTTCGTTTTTCATGAATTATAAAAACAGTACTAGACCAATTTTCTATTATGTGTCCCATATTTGGTGGACAAAAACAAAATCCACTGTCTTTAGAAACACACATATTGCTATTTTCAATTACAGGCATCCGATCTTTATGAAAAAGCTTGAAAATACAGTAGGTATTATGAAGATTACGTTTCTTTGCAATATGAGATTATCAGTTTATTGTTAAAAATCATGTCAAAATTAATTGTTCATGACTACACTCCTAAGTTTAGCTACACGATCGAAAATTTCAATCGATTCAAAGCATGAATTTTGAGTTATATTCTTGAATTTTTTGTGTAAAACATGATGGATTGTAATCAAAGAATAGTAAATCGTATACATTTTTAGAAATTATAAACATATTTAAATTAGCATAAAACTCTGAAAAAATAGACTCGATAATCATAAAATGGTCAAAATAGTTCATGAACGAATCGATATGCATTTTAATGGTCATTTTACCATTATTTACTTGACTGGGTTCTTACAGAAATAAATAACTTCATTAAAGAGTATTCAGTTATTAATTAAGATGTTTTTTTTTATAGTCAAAAGAGCTCGAAATTTTCAAGCAGATTGACAAAAACAATAAAAGTTCAAATTTTTTGCTAAAATCTGAATATCGAAAACCAGATAGTTTCACTAGTTTTCTTATGAACTTTCCATGTACTACAGGATGATCTAACAAATGAATACAATTTGAACAAAATCAGTCAATTTCATATTTTCATCGGAATCTGTCTTCAATCGAGTTTACTCTCTGTAGGTAAAAAAACAAATAACTAACTCCGTATATTCAGATCAAGACGAAATTATAATAAGTTCTACAATATTCATTTACTCACAGTGAATTTTTCTCATGTGAAAAGCGAAATCGAATGTTATTCTTTAAAATAAAACATGAGATTTCAAATAGATAATCTATTCACAGATAACATAAATAGTATGATTTTTTTTTATCGATTATAATACTAATTTCATAAAAATTGAAATACATCTTTTTTCAAACTAACTCAATGATTCAACATCATTTTGACTAGTAGCAATTGGTGGTGGTCGACAAGGCATTTGATAAACCACTACAGCTGTCGATCGTTGTGAAATTGTTGTTAATGAAGCACCGGTAGCTTGAAGTTCAGAATGATCTTGTGAACGAGACGACATCTATAACATATAAGAAATGTTAAATAGATAAAAAAAATCAAAAATATTATTAATTTCAAACTATCTCATAAATATTATACCTCATTGTCACCATTCAAACGTTGTGAAATCCTAGTTTTATTGCAAAAAAAAAAGAAAATCAAATTATATTTCTAGATAAAACTCTATACTTTTTTCTTTGTCGTCTATCAATAAAAAATAATTTCGATTGATTTTGTGTTGATGATTTTTTACTATTTGAATAAGCTTTTTCAATTGAATTCATACTACTTATATAATTAAGTGATGAACCAGTTAATGATGGTAATGCAATAGATTGTTGATTTTGTGTCATAATAGTATGATGAGGTGGATGACGAGTTGGTCGAAGATGACCATTACGCATAGTTATCGTTGGAAAATTATTTATATGACGTGGATCATTAAAAACTTTTGTAACTGCTGGAATCGATGGTGGTGTATTAGTAAATTCAAACGAATTATTTACTGATTTTGTAAATTCATTATGTGGTATTGATAATTCTGTAGTTGATAGAAGTGTTTTATCTTCTCTAGTTGTACTATTATTTAAATCAACAACTACACCACTAATAAATGTACCTGCACCAGAAAGTTGATCATCATCTGATTGTTGTATTGGTATTGGTGTTGATGATGGTAGAGAATTAATTTGTGATATTTTTTGTGTACTAAGTGAATAACCTTTTTGTTTTCGATATTCATCAATATAAGTTCGTGTTGATGAATAAAATTTAAATTTATTTGTAGTTTCATTTAATCCAGCATAATATTTTGGTGAAAAAACACGTGGATTTTTTAAATTACGAAAATTTTTTAATGGTCGTAATAATTCATTACCATCCGAACGTAAACGACTTATTGATATATCTGGCCATGGTCCTATACGATCGATTGTTACATAATATGTACGTGAATTCATTGATAAAGAATGACGACGTACTGATTGTTGACGATCACATGATGATGAAGAAGTTGCCGTATGAATTTGTTGAGATCCAGGATGAATACGTGGTGGTTGTAATGTATGTGAACCAAGAAGTGATGGTCGTTGATCACTACAACGAAGTAAATCTCGTTTGAGTGCTTTTTGACTTTTTAATATTAAATTTGCTTTTAAACATGGTGTATGTGAATCTAAATGAGCAGTTCCTATGCCTAAATCAACTTGTTTAGATGATATTGTTGTAGCATCAATAATTGGTATTAATGAAGTTGATGTATTTTTCGCATTTTTATTGAGAATCGGACGTTTCGAAGTTTTGCGCTTCATCTATTAGGCATGCATAAAAAGTAAGCACTCGAAAAGTTTTATACCACAACGAGTGTTTTTCGTCTTTTGACTGTTTCGTTAAAGGAAGACGAAGTGAAAAAGAGAAGAAAAAACACTTTTTATCGTCGCTCGTACTACCCATAAGTTACTAATGTTATTTTTTTATTAAATTATACAAAGCCAAACGAAAAAGAAAAGAAGAAAAAGAATAAATCTGATTAACTGAAACAATTTCATAAAAATATGCAAACAAAACCGTTTGCATTTGAGAAGTCGTCTCGACGACCGAACTTTGAGGACGAAAAATAATTAAGCAAAAAAAAACAATGAAATTTATTCTTATATATATATATGTTCATAATTTAATTTAGAGAAGACAAAAAAAAAGTGTAAAAGAATTGTTCTGTATCGATTTTATCGCATATTTAATCATTGTCATCATCGACTGACATCTGTTTTTCTATTGGTGCCAAATAAAAAGAGGTTGTTGCTGATTCTTTTGTAAACAAATCAATTGAAAATGGCGATTGAATTTAAACTAGATTTTAATCATATTTTACTTTTATTTTTTTCTAGATTGGAATAATGCCGAAAAAAGGCAAAGGCAAAGGAAAAAAAGGTGGAAAAGGTAAAAAAGGCAAAAAAGGGTAAGATTTTCTTAATTATTTATCAATAAGAATGTTAATTAATGAAAATTTTTATAGTAAAAAAACTAAAGAAAAAGAAGAATCAGCTGTTAAAATGGGTATTCATAATTCAAATTTATGGGAAGCTCAACTCAATCTGATGGATTTATCACGAAAACATTATCGGTCAGAAAAATCAAAACTTTGATTTTGATTGATTGTGTAATTTTATTTTTTTGCTATAATAGAGATATAGCTGGAACATTAGCTAATGATAATGAAAAAATGCGTGATCAAATGCGTCTAACTGAAAAAGATACAATTGATGTTGTAACTTTTCTAAAAAAACAAGATGCTGATAAAGATGCTGAGGTAAATAATTATTATCTTCAAAGACAAAACAATAACTCTCTATGTTCTTTTTTTTTAATTAATAATAGATAGATCGTTTACAACAAAATGTTAAAACTCTTAAAATGAATCATCGGAAAGTTAAAGATGAATTAGTATGTATGAATAGATATATATATATAAATGAATGTAGGAATTCTGTTTTTTTTTGTTTTTAAGATTCATGATTTTAGTCGAGAAAAACGTCAATTAGATGAAAAATTATCTCGAAGAGAAAGTGAACTTGAAATAATTCGTCATGAACTTAATCAAGTAAAAGAATTTCGAAAGAAAAAAACACAAATGCAAAAAGAACTTGAAGAAGTAAAACTTACAATTTTGTTTTTTTTTTTTTATTGATATCATTTTTTTTTTTGACATTTTCAAAGATTAAAGAAGCAATGGTTTCGAATGAACGTGAACATAAAGATACAATCGAAAAATTAGAACAAAAATTTTTTGAAGAAAAAATGCGTTTACAACAAGAATCAAATAAAAAAATTGAAGAAATAGCTGCACGTGCACAAGATGAAGCATTAAAGTCAAAAACAAAAAATATATATATATAAAATTGAAGAAATTTTCTTTTCATTTATTTTCAGAAGTTTAAATGAAACAAATCGTAATGTTTATCATGAAAATGTTAATTTGATTGATTCATTACGTATGTATAAAGAAGAATTAGATGATTTACAAAAAACAAAAGAACAATTATCAAGATTAATAGCAACAACAAGTAATGATAAAGAATTAAATGAAATATTAATAAAAGAAAAAATTGAACAAGTACAAAAACAAAATTATCTCATCAAAGAAGTAAATATAAGACAAAAAAAAGAAATAATAATAAATTTTCTTTTTAAATATTAGTTAAAAGAAAAAATTCAATTATTAGAAACATCATTAACACAATTTATACAAGAATTTGATATTGAAAGAAAAAATATTCTTGAACAAACACATATTAAACATGAATCATTACGTAATGAAATAATAAGATTACAACGTACATTAGAATTAAAAACAAAAGAAATGAATAAAATTAAAAAATTAGCTAAAATTATTATTGAACAACGTACAGAATTAGAAACATTCTTTTTGGATGCATTACAATATGTTAAAAAACAAATTACTTTAAATCGTTTACAATATCGTAAAGATGCATTTAATGCTTATCAAAATCGAATGTTAAATGCTCATCATGGACAAGGAGATTATCCAAGAATACGAACATTTAATGAGACATATCGTGGATTTAGTACAAATAGTGTTTTCCATGATTTAGAAGAAGCAACAAAATGGTAAATTTTCTTATAAGACATTATAGAAAGGCTCAAGGGCCTAGAGATATCCATCGCAACTAGAAAATGTACAAGACCAAAGTTTATTTATAAATCATATCCATAAGAAGATAATTCAAGAGAGATGATCCTCAAAAGAGTTACTCATCGACTAAATAAATCGGTGGACCAGAATTTCGGTTCGCGTTCAAGAGATTCGCGGAGAACTCTAAAATCCGATTATGACTCCGACGAAGTCGGGTTGACTAAAAAATTTTTCGCAATCAAAATTACAATCACCTCTAATGAATTTTTGTTATTTCAAATAATAATAACTTTCTTTTTCATATTAATCAACAAAAAAGAAATAAAAAGCAACACATATTAACAATGAGTATCAAGACAATAAACCTAAAAACATAATGACATTAATGAAAATATATATTTCAATGTCACCCGAAGTATTACAATTCTCTTCATCATCAATTTAAAAAGAAATTCAAAATGATTCTTTATCGACTAGGACTGTTAAATTACTATTACTGGTAATAAGTAACAATTTATAAAATTATTACTTATCGCTGGTAATTAGTAATAATTTGCAAAAATGATAAAGTATTAAAACTACTTAGGGCATACCAAAAGTACTGGCAGTGACACTTTAATACCC